TACCATGCCCAGTTAATTTTTTGATTTATTGTAGAGATGAGGTCTCACCAAGTTGCCCAGGCAGGTCTCAAACCTGTGGGCTCAGGCATTCTACTCATCTCAGCCTCAAGCACGAGATTACAGGCTGAGCCACTGAGCCCAGCTTCTCCTCCTTTCTTTCCCTTTTTTCTTATATCCCAATTTTGCATATGTTGATGCACTTAAAAATTTCCCCCGGCTGGACGTGGTGCCTCAAGCCTGTAATCCCAGCACTTTGGGAGACCAAGAAGAGAGGATTGCCTGAGCCCAAGGGTTCAAGACCAGCCGGACAACTTGGTGAAACCTCATCTCTACAATATATTAAAAAATTAGCCAGGCATGGTAACATGCATTTGTAGCCCCGGCTACTTGGAAGGCTGAAGTGGAAGGGTCGCTTGAGCCCAGCAGGTTGATGCTGGGGTGGCTGTGAGCAGTGCCACTGCTCTCCAGCTTGAACAGCAGAGTGAGACTCTCACTCAAAAAAAAAAAAAGTTTCCCACATTTCTCTGAGGCTCGGTTCATTTTTCTTCATTCTATTTTCTCTCTTGTTAGTCACCTTCCGTAGTTTCTATAGATCTAGCTTTAGGTTTGCTTATTATTTCTTCTGCCAGTTAAGTTTTTTACTGTCAAGTCCCTCCAGTGAGTTGTTTAAATTTCCATTATTGTACGTTTCAACTCAGAATTCCCTTTTGGTTCTTTTTAAAATAATTTATGTGCCCCAATGAGCACTGCTATTCATGCCTTCCTTGTTTTATAGATATGAGGGCTGATCTCAGGCTTGATCATAGAATATTACCACCTTGAACTCTTGGGCTCAAGTGATCCTCCTGTCTCAGCCTCTCGAAAGCTGAGTCTACAAGCGTGAACTATAACACCTGGTTCTTTTATTTCTTTAATCACGGTTTACTTTAGTTTTGTGGATATGTTTAAAATGACTGTTGAAAAATATTTTTTCTGTTAAATCCAGCGTCTGGTCATTCTCACAGGCAGTTTCTTTTACCTCATTTTCTTGCTTGGTGTTTGGTCCCTACTTTTCCATTTCTTTGCATAACCGCATGATGTTCTCTGTTGGGTACTGGGCATTTTAGATGATATATTATAGCAGCTCTGGGTACTGACTCCTTCCCCACCCCCAGGCGTGTTACTGGCATGTCTGGCTGGATTCTCTCTGTGAAGTCTGCTCCTTGCTTCCTTCTCACCTTCCCTAGTGTTAGCCCAAGTTGTTCCTCAAGGAGGCACGCCTTCAGGCATGCCTGGTCCCTGGGATGACTGTGACCCACTGGGGTGTTCTGCTCTTCCCTGAGCATCCCCGGCTGTGAAAGGCCACCTCACCCAGTGTCTCCGTGTTCTCAGCAGTGCTTCAGGTGTAAATCCCTCCTAGAGGAAGCAGGCAAGTTGAAGGAGACATTTCTCAGGTTGGATCAGCTGCTCGTTCCCACCCCGAGGGCTCCTTGACTGTGGGCGCCAGGCTCTGCCCCCCGTACGCCTGCCACCCAGGGTGTTGGCCACAATCTGGGCCACCTCTTCCCAGTCCCACTATTCTTTTCCTTTTTTTTTTTT